AGTTTTCATGTAACTGGAACAACACTTTACCCAACTCAAACAGTAGAGTGCTCTGGACTTCGACTGAGCCCAACTCAATCTTTTGACTTCTCTTAGTACACCATACTGAGCCTTACACCTCCAGCGCATTCCTTCTCTTACTTCCTGTTTTGTAAAACTGTTGTAGTAAAAGAGCAGAATCAGGCATTTTTTGGCCCCATCGACTTTTAAAAGGAAGCTTCTAAAAACGTGCATAAACATGCTTTTTCATGCACTCTCATAGAAGACTGTTGGACTAGAAATGTTTGATTCTGCCCCAAAAGAAGTTTATGTACTTTTCCAAGCTTCAAGCTACAAGTGACAGGTGACACAATGCTCAGATGTAAACGGGCACCATTTAAAATAATGGGATTCTTCATGTTACACGCTTCAAATACCTAGATGTGAATGGGGTCTAAGGCCTTATTTACACCTGCAGTGGAATTTTACCACCTTCTGAAAAGCATTCAGAGCACGGTTTAGTGGTGGTTTGCAGGCATTCAGGAGGCGATACTGCCGCCTCTCGAATATTTTTTCTTCATCCCAAGGAGCATTTTGTATTGCAATACCATGCTGCAACCATGTGCCAAGCCGTTGGCATGTGGTTGCAGCTCGTTCCTATGGACTGCAAGGGTTGCATTTGACAAGCAGCACAACCTGTCAAATGCAACCTGCTGTATAAACTTTGCTGTGGCATGTGTACAAACCATAGGGACTTCCGTGTTATGTATTATGAGGTTAGTTCAGGTAGTGGGTGATGAAAACATGGATCAACCAACTGTTTTTACTGCCCCTTTGCCACCCATAGAAACAAGGCCTAAGTGAAAGAAAATCTCTGTAACTAAGTCCTGGATAACACTGATAACACAACACGGGTTCTAATCCTTGACTACTCTATGTGAGAGTAAAAAATAGAGTTTGGACTGTACTTACAGTGTAACGGAGAACAGAGGAGCACTAGTGAACACAACTTAAATAGGATTCAAACCCAGTCACTAAAATATCATATAGGCTTTAACATATTAATGTAATTTAACATTTATTTTCAATCTTTTGAAATATTCAGCTTTCTTTGAAAGATTATCTGGTGATCCTGCCATGACGGTCTTTGTTTAGGCACATCCTGTTATAGGGTGACAACTGTCTCCCAATTCTAGACCTGCCTTATCATCTTGTTGCCCCCATGTACTCACTGCTGGTACTACAAGCGGCCCGATCCCCGGCACGATCCGCCATTGTCACTATCAGTAATTTGGTCCAGAGAAATTATGTGCAGCTGATGCTGGAGAAAGTACATGTAGACAGAAGGTGACTGGAGGAGATGAACAGCAAAGAGATGGAAAACAAAAAAGGATGAACAAAGGTAATAGCAGTATTTTATGAAACAGCAATGCAATTGTTGATGATACACAATGCTTTAGAAAACTATCAGGGTTATTCACAAAAGGTGAAGAGTTTGGAGAAGGCCGGAGAAGTGAACAATCTAGGACAACATAGCTGATTGGGAAAAATTCTCCAATTCAGCTCACTTTCCAGTTCAGCTATTCTGGCCTAGATTGTTCACTTCTCCTGCCTTCTCCAAACTCTTCATCCTGTAAATGTTGGCTAGTGAATTTAGACTTTCAGGCACTTTCACACAGTTCATCCATATTCTTACCGATCCCCAGCACACCGCTGACCAATTAACATTGTTGCTGGACACTCCATACACATTGCCAGAGTATCGACTGGCTCATCAAGGACCAGCCGAAATTTGTGCAGTATTTGGTCAGTTTTTGGATGTACAGAGATTGAACAATCAGATTCTAATATGTATTGCCAGCTATATAATAAACCTGTCTTATAACATCTTTCTATTAATGCTGATTGACCGGTGTTAATTCTACAATTTACTGTCCAGGAACCTGTGTGCAGATAAAGGTCACAGCAAAGTCAAACCTCCCTATCCATATAATTAATCTAGCTCAGGGACTCAAAGTATTGAAGCTAGGAGATCAGCAGGACAGCCAGACAGCTTGGAGAAGTCAGTAATGGCAGCCTCCGTGTCCATGTTATGACAGGTTTCCTTTAATTTATAGTGTAACATTGGATGAGCAGTGCTGACCGAGGTGGCAGATTTCAGTTGGATGTAAATGAGTCTTCCTACAAAGTATTAGTATTTATGCTGCTGAAATGATCCACCATGTGCCACAGAGGTCCACCTGTTCAGCTCCTGACAGGTCTTTCCTCCTCTAGACATCACTCATTACACCATCTATATCACCTACATTAGCTAGAGTGTACTGCTGTACAGACTGGCAGCTCCATGGATTTCACTGCCCTCTGTATGTTTCAGGAACTCTCAGGGGGTCAGGGTCCCCCAAATATATCATTAGTAACCCCTGCCTATGCTAACTTGATGCTGTATGTCACTCTGTGTTTTTTTGGATCACCTGTGACCCCCAACCCCCTCACCCCCATTTTAGACTTTTCCTGAGAGCTGCTAATCCTGCAGAGAGTCATTTACAATCACTTGATCTCTCCCTGTTGCTCAATTCTTCTCATTATTTATTGGCCTTCAAATTGTTTCTTGGCCTTTGACGTCCAATTTACAAGTTTGGCCACTGTTTTGTCCTCTCTTTTGTCAGGCAGAAAGAATCCGTGTTGGGGAAGCTTTGAAAAGCCAAACATGAGAGGCAGCCTATGAAAGGGGAGAGGGCTGGGGGCTTTTGATTCCTACTGGAGAGTCAATAGTTACTTTACATAATTGCAGGAGAGAGTTTCAAAGCCACAATCACAGGGACCCCCCCTCTCTGCCAGGAGTCTATTGGAGCTTTCAGGCCTGTATAAAGCAGGATGAATACACTCTGGCAGAAAGATGGAGCTTTTCATGTTTTGCAAGTTGCAGATTGCTGTGTCCAGATGGGGAAAAGGACACAAACCCCCTTTGTTACCCCCAAAGGGGGGGGGGTTCTACCCCCGCCCTAGTCAGGACACTTCCCCAGCATTTGGCAATGGCAGGACTTGAGCGAGCAAACAGAATAAGGAGCCATAAATACATAGGGAAAGGAGGGGACTTGGAGTCCTGTACCTCCCTACAAGGAGTGGGGACAAAAGCACTGAGTGTCTGGGTTGATCTATATGGTCTGTGCTCAGGGAAATGGGATGGCTGGTAATGAGTTGGGAATGGGCTTTTATTATCTAAATGGGGAATCACCCCCCTTGGGACCCCTCCACCACCAAAAACTATACACCATCAACAAAACACAGAAGCCATCAGCATCAGATTGGTGAGCAGGAATAGACAGGCAGGGATCACCTCCTGACAGCAGTACAGATTACTACCGTGTGATAACGTGCGATAAGGTCCCCTGCTCTCTAGTGCATAGTCCATCTGCTGTGACTGGCTGCAAACTGCTTAGCAGACAAGACAGCATCCCTCTCCTGCAGCTTCATGTCACATAGATCACATCACATATACGACTCAATATGGAGCGAACATTCTTCAGTCTGTATGCCTGTATTCCCTGTCTCCCTAAGAGGAGGAAGACTCCTTTTTTTTTTTTGTTCTAAAAACAATGCTATGCACTATATGAAGCACTCAGCACCTGCTGCCTGTCACTGGACTGCTACCAAGGTCAAAGCTGTAACATCTACTGACATTATTATAGAATTATTCTTAATAAGGACAATATATAACTCGGAGAAACAAAAGAAAGTTTCCGAAGTAAGAGGGAAGAGATCGGGGAACGAAGTTGTGAAACGATGAAGATGGGGATTGAATTGTCATGGGAGAAAAGATCGATGTGTATATTTGGGGACAATAAATTCCATGTCCGACCTTGTCGGAGGCTCCTAACATCACATGAAATCAGCTCACTAATAATCCTCCATGGACAGGACAGGTGAATTGTCTAATGTGTTAGGCCAACAGAAATAATACACATCATCATTATATGCGCGATCATAGCTGAGATCGTCACACGGAAAGGGAAAACTATATTTTATTTGTACATAAATAATCCCCCTAGAATATATGTATATATTAATAAAAATTGTATTTGCACATAAAACGTCCAGTGGATTGATAGTGATGATGATGACTGTCGGGTCCCTTATTATGAATTCTGTTTTTCTATTTTATTCGAACCTGCTCAGACAATTCACACACAAAGTCGCGATCATAACCAATTAAATATTTATACACATCATAAAATAGTCTTCCCCTATCCAGTGTTTGATTTCCACCTGACCCCCTTTATATGTAAAAATCAATACGCCGAATCCCTGTGGAGCTCACCTGCTGAGTTTATTTCCTGGCACGCAAACCGGTCAGAATAAAACAGAATGTCCCGTTAGGAGCGGACCGTGCACACCGCATCGGGAATACTTGTACAATACAAATCGCACGTCACCCGTGTCTTTCGGCTATACAATGACCGCTCTATCCCGATGGATGACCCTATTTATATTGGGCACAAGTGATGTGTGGACATTATTGTCGGATTATTATAACACAAGGTCTAGTGACAGCTGCCAATTTATTGAAGGCACTGGGGCAGTAGATCAGGGAGATCGGACATGTATTGGCAGTGGTTGGGGGTGACAGGGGTCGGTCGGAGGATCGGATCGGAGCGGCGATCTCAGCACTTTGACACTCAGCGAGGGGTGTGAGGTGGGTTAGGCTTGTGCGCCACGCCTCCTGCGGCCGGGCAGCCAATGGCAGGCAGGGAACCGTGCCTCGTGACCGAGGGAAGGTTCTCAAATGTAGCAAAATGTGAATGGGAAATAGGTGAAGAGTTTGTAGCAGCAGAAGCCCGGGAGAGAAGAGGCTGCGCTGCCAGGTCACCCAGGACACAGCCAGGGACAGCTCTGAACACTGCTCTCAGGGAAGCTGACTCTCAGGAAAGGTGGACAGCAGCACAATACAAAGACACTACAAGAAGGAAGGAGCTCTCCAATACAGAACAAAGTTACCCAGCCAGAGGAGGCTGAACACTCACCAGGCTCTGTCCGGACTCACTGACCCTAACTGGAGCTGTTCAGTCAGTGCACTGATCTCTGGACCCTTATAGGATTGAACTGATGGACAGCATGACGAGCTGAGTGCACCCTGTGCCCCGATCACATCGCTGTCTGTGTGCCCTGCTCGGGGTCTCTGTCAGTTCTTCTCCCATCACCTATCGACTTCCATATGAGTGCAGCTTTCCAGCCTCCTCTCATGATGATGCAGCGTCCCCTGGGCAGCAGTACAGCTTTCAGCATAGACTCTCTGATAGGAAGCCCACCTCAGCCCAGTCCTGGGCACTTCGTCTACACGGGCTACCCTATGTTCATGCCATACAGGCCTGTGGTCCTGCCACCCCCTCCCCCTCCTCCTCATTCCTTGTCCCAGGCTAGCCTTCAGCCCACTCTCTCCTCCACGCATCCCCATCACCAGATCCCCAGCCTGCCCAGCGGATTCTGCTCCAGCCTGGCACAAGGCATGGCACTCACCTCTACCCTCATGGCCACCCTGCCAGGCAGCTTCTCAGCCTCTCCTCAGCACCAAGAAGCGGCCAGGAAGTTTGGAGCTCAGAGCCTCCAAGGAGGCTACAAGAGTGATGGAGGTCAGTCGGATGGAGAGGACACTGCCAAATCGTATGTCACCAAAGAGGGAACCTTATTGCCTTTTTCTGCTTCAGAAGCGTCTTTAGGTGAGTGGCTGCACCCCACGAATATTGTTACAATGCTGTCCGATCTCTGTCGGATGCATCCTCATGACTAAAGCCAGATCCATTCTCTTAACAGAATTGTATTTTATTTCACATCGCTGTTCTATCTAATGAACAAACATATGCTTTATGATTTGCCGAAATCTGGACTAATTAATATCAACACAAACACCAATTAATATAGATTAATCCGTACCTCTGCCTTCCAGAGATCGCTTTATGAATACAGAGAAATACAGAAGCCAAATTCTAAATTGTGTGTGAAATAACAGCCTCCCCACAATGGTCAGCATGAGGAGCATGAGGAGTGAATAGATGAAATTTATAAACACAACACTTCTATCACATCATAAAATATAGCGAACGGTATTCTACAATCACCATCTCTAGAAATAGTACAATTCATTGTGACACAATTATCTCTGTGCTCAGAAATACACACAAAGCTTCTATCAAAACACTGAGATACATTTTGAATATTTTGTATATGTTCTTAAAAAAAAATATTCGATCTGCAAAAGAGCCGAATTACTAAACCAAAGTAAACTTGTAAATGGGATCCAAAGAGAATGTAAATACAATGTAATAATAATGAGATAATAAAGGAGCCGCATCCTTCCTACAATCATTCCCATTAATTCCAGAACAAGCGGGAATCATTTCTAAAAAGAATATTTCTCCCGGGACCAGAGAAATCTACAGGGACTGTCATGTCTATAATTCAGCAATGCATACAAGGCGAGGTCATACATATACTGACACACACACATCGACTTCACTACATAACTAGACAATTTTATGACGGGGTGTGGGAGTCTGGGAAGTCACCGGTTTAGGGGATTTTACTGTGATAAGTTTTAATTTCTTCACTCTGGCTGGGTTACTTTTTCACTCTATTTATATTATTTTATTATTTATATATGTACGTTCATTTTTATTACAAAGTATATATTTGATTAAAAGTGTATAGTTTGATTCAAAAGGATAGATAGATAGATAGTAAGATAGATAGATAGATAGATAGATAGATAGATAGATAGATAGATAGATAGATAGAAAGATAGATAGAAATAAAAATAGAAGAAAAAAAGAAAAAGGAAGAAAGAAAGAAGGAAAGGAAGGAAGGAAGGGTGAAAGAAAGAAAGAAGGAAATGAAGAAAGAAGGAAAGGAATAAAGAAAGAAAGACAAATATTAGACAACTAGTAGTGGATAAATAGATACATACATAGATAACAGAAGACAGATGGAGATAGATAGATAAATAAATAAAGATACATAGATAGATAGATAGATAGATAGATAGATAGATAGATAGATAGATAATTCAGTAGTAGATAGATGGAGTTGGTAGATAAATATATACATACATTGTAGCAGATGGAGATAGATAGATAGATAGATAGATAGATAGATAGATAGATAGATATAGATAGATAGATAGATAGATAGATAGATAGATAGATATTCTTTGTCACATATAAACACACAATCCTGCATGTCCACAATTATAACGAAGTCGCACTGATAATGATATAAAATACTAGGATGGATTTAGATTATATGTTTTATTTTAATCTGCTACCTAAAATCCCGAATCCCTGAGAGCCCATCGTGCCTATCGTGCCCATCTCCTGGCATTGAGTTGAATGTGTGTCTCTTATTTGGACAGGTGCTGTGCGGGGACAGGGGAAGGAAGACCCGGGGAAAGATGACGACGTGAAGGGAAAGGAGGACACCTACCTGATGGACAGTGACCTGGACTACAGTTCAGATGACAACATCTCCTGCCAGACGGCCCACAAAGAGGAGGACACTCCAGAGGAGAGCCCCCAGAACCCCAACCCTTCCAGTAACAACACGTCTACAGGCAAGAACAGGAGGCGGAGGACGGCCTTCACAAGCGAGCAGCTCCTGGAGCTGGAGAAGGAGTTCCACTGCAAGAAGTACCTGTCCCTCACCGAGCGCTCCCAGATCGCACATGCCCTCAAACTCAGCGAAGTGCAGGTGAAAATCTGGTTCCAGAACCGCAGAGCCAAGTGGAAGAGGGTGAAGGCAGGCAATGCAAACTCCAAAACGGGCGAGCCCTCCAGAAACCCCAAAATCGTGGTGCCCATCCCAGTCCACGTCAGCAGGTTTGCCATCAGGAGCCAACACCAGCAGTTGGAACAGGCTAGACCCTGAACTAAGACAGACTGCGATAGACTGCAGGTTTGTGTTTCCCATACACGCTTTTAGACTGAAAGACAGAAGCTGTACTCTATTTATTATTGTGGCAGGACAGCTGTGTGGACAGAGGGACCCTATGGCAGGTTTGGACTTCCTGGCAGGCTCTGGGACATTCAGTGGACTCCAGGACTCCAGTTCATGATGGGACAAAATTGGGGCCCCTGCCTTCTTATGGGGGACTTAGTGCCTCATGGAGAAACTAATAGCCCTCCTTTAGCTCCCTGGAGCTGCAAAATTATGTTGTGATTAATTTATTAAGTGTCGCATATTTCTTATAAGTTATCCTTTTTTTTTTTTTTTCAAAGAAAACTCAGTCTTGTGAAATCTGAAAATGTCACTAATAAATAAACCCACTCTGCCAGACTGGGAGATGTGGGGTCATTTGAAAGGGTACATGGCCAGTTCCTGGCTAATCTTTCTTCATCCCCTCTGAGACTCATTTTGTCAAATCTGATCTGTGTGATGAGAACGAGAGGGGTCGCCAAATGAGGGGCTGTGTGGGATTTAATAGGGCAAGACATGTGGGGTCTGTTGGACAAGAAATAAATGAATGTACATTTTTTTCTTCCGAGACATTATTTAATTGTGGAAGGTTGGAAGTGTCATCTGTGCAGTAAATGTGTCTGTCACCCAGGGGACGAAGTCCTGACTTCATAATTAGGACATGTTTCCTAGACTCAGGTTTGTAGCTTGGAAGATA